TAATGGAGAGATTCTAAACCTAAAGTCCACGGAAGGTTTTAGGGGGGGTCTTTAAACCTCCAGAATTTCTTTTTTTTTTTTTTTTTTTTTTTTTAAATATATTTTATTGATTTTGTACAGAGAGGAAAGGAGAGAGATAGAGAGTTAGAAACATCGATGAGAGAGAGTCATCGATCAGTTGCCTCTTGCAAACCCCCTACTGGGGATATGCCCGCAACCAAGGTACATGCCCTTGACCGGAATCGAACCCGGGTCCCTTCAGTCCCCAAGCCGATGCTCTATCCATTGAGCTAAACCGGTCCCGGCGTAAACCTCCAGAATTTCTATGCAGATTGTTATAGGTGGGATCTTTTGGTGGAGGGGCTTGATAAAATTCACCTGATTCTCAAAGTGGTTTGTGTTCTCAACAGGGCAAGAAGTGGAGGCTTTTTAAAAAATTGATTTCAGAGAGGAAGAGAGAGGGAGAGAAACATCAATGATGAGAACCATTGGTTGGCTGCCTCCTGCATGCCCCACACGGGGGGTGAGCCTGCAACCAAGGCATATGCCCTGATTGGGAATTGAACCGTGACCTCCTGGTTCATAGGTCTACACTCACCCTCTGAGCCTTGGCTGTAGGGCAAGAAGTCTAGGTTTGCTGCCTTCCTCGCCCCAGGCAAAGTGATCGGTACTTTTCTGGGCTGTGTGGAGGCAACACCGGTGAGGACGAGATATTTGGGAGCTCAGGACCTTTCTCAGAGCCACCTGCCTGCCCCGAGGGGCCTGAAGTGTAACTGGCATACGAAGCCCTGGCTTTGGAGCGGGCTGGATCCTGGCCTTGCCCTCTGCTGGCTGGGTCCCCACTCTGAGCCTCCATTCCCCAGGCTGGGCTGTCACATGGATGAACTCAGTAATGTCTGTTGAGTGCTCAGTACAGCGGCTCACACACATACTGGTAGGGGGGACTGCAGAAATGCTCGCTGCTGCTACTGCCATTACTATCACCATCCTTACACACTCAAAAGCTCTTTCCTCAGCTTGCCCCGGGCCTTGTAAAAAGCTGCCCCCTATCAGGTTAAATATGAGGTTTGAATACCCCTCGAATGCTCTTGATCCGATTCATCTGTGGCACCAGCAACAAAGGCAAGCACATGAAACATAGTCCCATGTTCGGTGTGTGCAAAACAGGGGGCGCCCGGTTAGGTTTGTACAGGGACAGTGGTGAACGTTCCTAAGAGTGAAATAAGTGAAAGCTGAACCTTCTCGGTTGCAAAAGCCTGGGCTGTTTTAGACCTTTCTGTTTTCTCCCCCTGAGGAGGGAGCCTGGACCTCAGACTTGGGTCTATTTTCCTCCTAAAACGCTTCTCTGTGGAGCCTGGTTCCTCAGCCCCGTCATCCACAGCCAGCAGGTTCGTTCATTCCGGGGCCCAGTGTCCAGCGTCGGGAGGGCTGGGGGCGTTCTGGAGATGGGCCCCCTGGACACGGGCTGGTCCACGGCCAGCCGAACCCAGTGCTGCCTGCCCCAGGTTGCTGGGTGGAGTCCCATTCAGCGGGGGCCTGGTGGCTCCAGACAACAGCTGGAGACCAGAAACGAAGACTTCCAGCTACAAGCAAATGTTGCTGCTTCTTGAGGTTGAAATATCCTGTCCCCCGAGTTCCCCTTTCAGCCAACCAAAAACAATTCCCCCAGGGACCTGACCCCGCCACAGAGGAACAAAAGCGCTCCAGTTCCCAGCGTCCCAGAGACTGGTCTGCAGTTTCAGGCTCGCACAGCCCAGGGGGGAAGAGGAGATGATCATGTGATTTCCAAGCTTGGAGACAAGGTCACCCTTGTCCAGCCCTTTCCGTCTCCGCAGGAAGAAGAGCCTTTGATTGCTTGACAAAGGACGAGGCTGCCCTGGTGTGGGCTCCCCGGAGGGCGGGCTTTGCAATGTCCGAATCGCTCAGGTTTCGGAAAACAAGGAGATGAGGTGAAGGTCAGCGGTGCCCTAAGTCCACGCAGATGGGTTTGGGGTGCTCTTCCGGGTCCTGCTTCAGGCAGGACAGCTGCACATTCTGGCTGCATTTGTTTTTCTGCTGCAGGCTAAGCTGTCCCTCAGAAGTTTACCAGTGGTTTTACCATTTGTTTTCCACCAGCCATGAAAACATTCTCCTTCAGAATATATTCACACATGCTAAGGGGTTAATGACCAAACTGTATAAGGAACTCATATAACTCAATAACAAAAAATAACCTATCCAATTAAAGAACGGGCAGAGGGCAGAACAAACATTTCTCCAAAGACATACGGATGCCAACAGACATATGAAACAAGGCTCAATTAATGATCAGGGAAATGCAAATCAAAACCACAATAAGATACCACCTCACACCTGTCAGATGGCTATTGGAAAAAAGTCAGTGAATAACGTGTTGGTGAACACGTGGAGAAAAGAGAACCTTGTGCACTGTTGATGGGACTGCCAATTGGTGAGCCACTGTGGAGAGCAGTATAGAGATTTCTCCAAAAACCAAAAAATGGATCTACCATATTACCCAGCAATTCTACTTCTGGGTATCTATCTGAAAAATTAAAAGATATATGCAGAGATTAACCAAATAACTTACATGCTTATATGCATGCATAAGCCATGGATACAGACAATAGAGTAGTGAAGGTCTTGGGTGGGGTGGGAGCCAGCTGGAAGAGGGTAATGGAGGAGAAATGGGGGATATCTGTAATATTCTCAGCAAGATAAATTTAAAAAAGATATGTATACCTTTATGTTCATTGCAGTGTCTTTTACAATAGCCAAAATATAAAAGCAACCTAGATGTTCATTGATTGATGAATGGATAAAGATGTGATACACACACATACACACACAATGGAAGTTTATTCATCAATAAAAAAAAAAATCTTGCCATATGTGACATGGATAGAACTAGAGAGTCAGATGAAGACAAATACCATATGGTTTCACTTATATGTGGAATCTAAAACAACAACACGCAAATGAACAAACAACACACAACAAAAACAGCAGCCTCATAGAAACAGATGGAACCAATGGCTGCCAGAACAGCAGAGGGTGGTGGTGGGGGAACAGGTAGAGAAGATGAAGGGGAATATAGTCAGTAATGTTGTGGTAACTCTGTCTGGCGAGAAGTGATTACTAGACGTAGTGAGAAGACCACATTGAAAAGCATATAAACGTTGAATCACTATGCTGTGCACCTGGCACTAATGTGATATTGTATACCAACCATACTTAGCACTCTACAAAGTCAAAAAGAGCTCCTGGGAAAGAGGGAGGGAAAGCTCAGAGAAGAGAAACACTGGAGTGAACCTTTCAGGGGCCATGATATTGCAACAGCCACTGCAAGGTTAGGGCTGGCTGCTGTGGTGTGGGCCAAGGTCAGCCGGGGAGAGGACAGAGAGAGAGGGCCACAGACTCCATGTCCAGGTAATATGCCTGCCAGAGAACTACGGTAAGCCCTCACTCAACATTGTTATAGGTTCTGGGAAACTGTGACTTTACGAGAACGGAAGTATAATGGAACTAATTTTACCATAGGCTAATGGATATAGACAGGAGTCAGGTCCCTACGGCATGTTTCTGCTCACAACACATCATCAGACTTCTGAATAAAGACCTTTGAAAATACTTCTAGTATTAACCATTGAAATAAGTGTGAGCTATATCCTAGACACAGCTCCTTGTTCTTAACCCCCCACCTCTACTCGACAATAACAAGGCACGGCTACCATTTACTGAAACTATACTAAGATAATAGCCCACCACAATACTATGGGCGGTTACTGAATTGCCCCAATCTGAGAGAGGAGAAAGTAGGAACGCAGGGCTGAGTCACTCGCCCAACGTCACGTGGTAAGTGGTGGGATGGGGATGTGAGCCCAGGCCCCGAGTACCTACCCCTGGGCCATGGGTGTAGCCAGCTTACTTTCACCTAGTTCTCCCCTCCCTCCAGTGCTGGTGTGGGGGCCTGTTCAGCTCCCCCGAGTCTCTCATTTGTGTACCTCCGAGGCTCTGATGGGCCTCCTCACCCTCGGTCTTACCCCCCCTCCCATCTGTTTTTCCTAATGCAAGGGTCTATCCTTCTAAACTAGGAACCTGACGTCACTCCTCCACAGAAACCCTCTGGAGCAGGCGTCTTCAAACTACGGCCCGCGGGCCACATGCGGCCCGCAGAGGAGTCTGACCTGGCCCGCCAGGTTTTTTGGGCAGTGAGCGCAGTCGAGGTGTTACAGTAGGAATTAGTAGTTCATATAGTCCGGCCCTCCAGCTCTCTGAGGGACCGTGATCTGGCCCCCACTTTAAAAAGTTTGAGGACCCCTGCTCTCGAGCATCCCCGTTTTCCACTTCCTGGCCTCTCAGCGAGTGAGAGGTGGGAGCTGAATCCTGAAGGCTGACTCTAGGGCTGGGCCACCCCCATGCCGCTCTCCGAGCCTGTTTCCTCTCTGACCTGCAGAGAGGCTGTCCGGGTATGCGCAGTGCCCGACAGGCGAGTGCTGGGCGCAGAGCGGGCAACTCAGCCGGAGCTTCCATGGTGTTATTACTAAGAAGGGTGGGCAGAGGAAGAACTGGCTGCTCTGAAAGGCAAGATGAATTCCACATGGGATAATAACTGCACGAGTGTTTTAGACATCTTTTCTCACTTAATCTTCATCGCCTTCTGGGGCACAGATGCTATTGCATTTACAGGGAGGGGAGACTGAGGCTGAGAAGTGGATTGCCACCTCAAGGTGGATTCAGACCTAAGTTTTTCTGCTCATCCCCGAGAAGTGCCCCTGTCTCACCGGGTGACGTGCTCATTTGGAATTCCAACTCTTCCAGATCTTATCAGCTGACGGTCACTGCGGGTCAAAGCTGCCGGCGAGACCTGAGGAAACCTGGAGACACTTGGGAAAAACTGAGCCAAAGGTGCGGGCTGGCAAGGGCACACGTTAGAAAGAGCCGAGGATCTCCCTGGGTGCGACACTGTCCTGGGCCCACAAAGACGACAAGCCAGGGAGCACCCCGTTTCTACAACAATGAGAATATTTATTTTCTCCAGGCAGTAAAAATAACATTTTTCTCTCTTTTGTAAAAGTTAAGTACCATTACATTCCATTTTCTTAAATAACAAAACCCTAAAAATATATATTAAATTGTATACAGTGCGTCACACTTCATCTTATATTTTAAAATACATGATGTTTCTATTTTATTCTCAAAGTTGCATACTAAGAGCATATTTACAGATAAAGCCTTGTCATCCAAAGTCAAGATCCCCCGGAAGGTGAGCCTGGACGTGGCTGGTCTGGACGCCGCGTGACCCCTGCGGGGCAGCTCCCGCCACGTGCTCGGGAAGACACCTTCTTTCTGACGCAGATCTGCCTCGGACTTTCCTCCACACCTCACTTCCGTCTCGAGGAGCATGCTGGACTCACAAGACGGAAGCCTGTGCAATGGGCACCCCCTGGGTCTGCAGGCAGAGGGGGAGGCCCTTTCACCCCTGAGCCGGCCAGCCTGCGGGGAGGCGGCTGCGGCTGGAAGGTTTGAGAAACACCCCGCGCCAGGGCAGCTACGCTGGGAGACCTGGCCAGGAGGTAGAAGAGTGAGGAAGGTAAACAAAGGCACCAGAGGAAACAAGTAAAAGGTTAAAATTCCCAAGGTAGTAACAATAGCCGGCATCAAACGCCAAAGAGGAGATTTGCAACCCAAGAGGGTGCCAGCTGACTGGCTATGGAGTGGGAGACCTGGGGCGGCCTCGTCAGGCAGGGAGGGGGGATCTCTGAGGCCGTCCGCTAAGTGCTGGTGAGGATTAAGTGCTCGGACGGGATGCAGAGGCTTGGCGACAGCCTGCGTGCCCGCTGGTGCTGGGATGGCCTGGCCAGATCCTCGGCTGGGTCAGGCCGGCTCCTGCCTGAGCCGATGACGGGGCGTGTGGCAGGCCTTTCCCCACAGGTTTGGCCTGAGGTCCAGGACGGCGGCGCTCACTAGTGCTTTGATCTTTGTGGGTTTCTGGCTGATTGGAGTCTTGAGCCAGAGCCCAAACTTCAGAAGTTACAGCAATCACCTCACCTCGCCTATACCCTGTTCTGACATGGGGCTGTGGGGTAGGTACCCGGGGTTCATTCCCACTCCTTCTCTGCTGTGTAAGCAGTGACACACGGGGAGAAAGAACACAGGGCACTGAGTGCCTCCTAGAGGGGCCAAGGGCACTGTGAGACACAGCGAAGGAAAGGGGAGGCAGCAAGAGAGCGGCCCACACTCATGTTGGGACACCCGCGGAGAGGCAGGGCCTGGGTACCACAGTGCACAGGATGAGGAGGGCACGCAGGTCCTGAGGCACCACTTGCAGCCTCCTCCATTCACCCTCCTCAGGGCAGAGGCTGTGGACCGGATGCTCTCAGAGCCACTGACCACATGGTCCCCGGAGCCCCTCCCCTTCCTCTTTCATCATCTTCCGCTATGTGATCTGTGATGGGCTTTCCTCAGGGTCACCCTTCCCAATCACCCCCAGCCCCCAATATCTCTCTTCTAAAGCAGTGTCTTAGAAGGTCAAGTGCCTCCTGGAGGCACACCTCACTCTTTCTTTCTCAGCTGTTTACTTAGCCACAGGGACCCTCTGTGGGGTGCTGCCGACAGACAGGCTCCAACCAAGACATGGCCGAGAAGATTTATGGCTCTTCCCCCAGGCTGTCCTGAAGCTGGCCTGGGATTCCCGTGGCCCCTCTCCGGGCAGTAAGTTGATCCTGGCAGCACTGGGCTGTTCCAGGTCCAGTCGGAAGGAGAGCACTGGGGCGTCACCAGCGCTTCCAGGATCTCTGAGAAAGGGCTGATCCTGCCACAGCTCAGACAACAAACACACTGGCTTGAGGCTTGGCCCCTGTGACCAGCAGGGTGGGCCAGTGGTCAGAGTAAGTCTTTGGCAGCTGCACTGCCTGCTGGCTGCGTGAACCCGTTGCCAAATTCCACATTCCCTTGGATGAGGGTCTATTCACAGCTCAGGGCCCTTTGTCACCGCACACCTGACACTTGTGTTTGAGAAGAGATTCCTCAAAATCCAGGAATAGTTTGCACATGCCAGTATATTTCCAGTGGTCCTTAAAGGGACAGACCTGTCTCCAGACCCCGGGTCTGCGGACAGCTGCTCCCGGGAAACGGGCCTTTTCAGATCAAAGCATGACGACAGCAGCAAGCAGATCCATGCTTGTGGTGGGTCTCACGGGGTGCCCCCCTGTGGACGCACGGCCTCGTTCCCCTTTTGAAGGTCCCTCTGCCTCCAGCTCCTACCATCTCTCCTGGTTGCCAAGTGTCACCTCTCCCTGTGGACACCTCCCAGCTGCCCCGTTTTCTGGCAGCAGCCAGTGTCAGACGGGTTGCCAATGTGGCAGAACCCCAGGAAGGGCCACGGTAGGAAGTGGCTCAGGGACTTGGGGAGATGAGGCAAAGTGCTGCAAAGAGGGAACCTGGGAGGCCAGAGGTTTGACATGAATGGGGTTCAGAAGACCTAATTCTCAGGCTGCCCAAGATTGGAAGGCCTTTTCTCGTTCAGCGTCTGGAGAGCAAAGCCGAGTCAGCACAGAGCATGGGCCCTCTTTAGCGCTTTGGGATGCTAATACCCAGGAGTAGGGGACCAGGCCAACCCTCAAGAGAGCCTCAGAATTCCCTGCCTGGCCTTCTTCTAAACCATAAAGACCAGGAGAAAGTGATCTATGTGTGGGCAAAACAGAGAAGAAGCAAGCAAGACTCAAGGCACACTACACTTACCACCACCTGACAGCCATCTAAAATATACCTGAACCCAGTGCTGGACACAACCATCTTTGTCATCTCAGCTCCAGTGTCCTGACACCCCCATTCCTGGATCAGAGAGAGTCACACACACACACACACACACACACAGGGCCAGACCCTGGGACTTTGAGTTTCTCTCCTAAGTGCAGCTGATGAAGCAGGACGAATCCAGGCTACGCCTGGCCCTGCAGCGGGGCGCCCCTTCCCAGTCCATCGGCAGGTGCCTCTGAAGAGGCCAAGGGAGAGGCAGGGAAGCGTCCATCAGAGGAAACCACGGGAGAGGTGGTCCCCGTGGCCTTGAGCTCAGAGGAACCTCCTGTCCTGGGCATGGGGGAGCTTTTAGTCACTCACAAGAGGATTACGGTCATCGTGTTGACTCTGACCCTTGAGCTTCTTCTTAAAGATGGAAATCGAAGTAGAAGGCTTATAGAAAATGCTCCAGATTTCTCCTGATGTCCCTGGTTGACGACAATCCCTAAGGTCCCCTGAAGCAGGAGCGCGATGTGATCTGTCAAACAAAAATAACTTAAGAGTTCTTCCTGACAAGACCAAACAACAAAGCAGACCAAACAACCATGAGAGACCTGTACCTATGAAACGGGGCGCTCGGTGAGGGGAGGTCACGGGAAAGACCTAAGCGCTGCCTGCAGGGATCTGAGGACTATTGTGCGGGTGAAATGTGTCCTGCGGGGTGGGAATGCAGCGGGGCAGATTCCAGCTCAGGGTAACAAAGAACTTGCTAACTTGCAGAATTATTCAAATCTGGAAAGGGCTGTCCTGAGAGACTGAGTTTTCAAATTCATTTCTTTTTTTAAACATGGAAGAATGCTTTCTTCACATTACATTTACCGAGTTAAAACGGGACAAAGGCAGGACTGCTCTGCAGGACTGGGTCTTGCCTCAGCACCAGTGCCGTGTGGCAGGGAAGCTGCGGAGGGGCTCCAGGCTCAGGTAGGAGCCAGACATGCACTTTAGGGCCGCAGGGTGCCGTGAGCTGATGGGTGCTATAGGAAGCCTCCTGCTCTCCTGCTGCTGTAGGAGACAAGTGGTCAGGACTGTGCCGAGAGGCTTCCAGAACATGTAAATTGTGACTTAAAAAAAAAAAAAAAAAAAAAAAATATATATATATATATATATATATATATATATATAAATAATATATGGCATGTGAGTGGGCTCGGTAAACAATAATGACACTGTTTCCACTGAAAAATGTAAAGCGCAGTGTGCAGAGGCATGAGGCATGTGGGTGGTCCCAGTGTGACCAAGGGCAGCCTTCAGAGGGCACTGGAGGAGCTGTCACTTAATGTATAAACTTCTGTGGCCGAGGGCTAGTGAGGAGGTAAGGGAAAAGTGGCTTTCACAGGACCTCAACATTCAGAAAGGCCTTGAAATGCAGATAACCTATATATCAATTATATCTCAATAAAACTGAAAAAAAAAAATATGGAGAGAGCTGGACTGGGAGCCACAGGGAAGACAGTAGAAATCTAGAAAAAATTAGAAAGAGCCTTCCCCCCCCCCTCCCCCCGTAAACACGAACTTCATGAGGCCCTTTCTTGGAAAGAAGAACTGCTAAACCTGAACAGCAAAATAAAGGAAGAAAATGTTTTTTTCACAAAGGGTCAGAATTGAAGGACAAAGCTTCTTAAATAACTGCCTTAAAATGACTATTACGCAATAGTTAATAAATGTTAGATTCTCTTCCTAAGAATGTTTTCCAGTTTCTAAAAGGCACTAGGAAATACGCATGGTACCATCCCAGCAATCTTTGTTCTTGCATCAAGATCTCTTCCAGGGCTAAAACACAGGGCAAAAAAATGGAAATTGTTGTTTTTTATGCCCAGATTGTTTCAATCCCCCTTGAAACTGTATCATTTGGATACCGGAGCAAACACAAGCGCTCATCCTTAGTGAAATTTGTCCAGTTGTACATTTCACTCTCCAATGAGGAATGTCTACTGTCACATGTTTCCTAGGACTGAGGACTCTGGGGTCATGTTCTGATATTACGCTTTTACCCACACTAACGAAGCCAGCAGAAAAGGAGCTCTGAGCCTTTGCTCTGTCGTACTCACCGGAATGTGACGTGCAGGAGGATCTTTGCTACAATGGCTGTGACTGTGAGGATGAGGAGCGTTGCCAGGCCATACACTGTCCATCCTGCAAAAGAGAGGGCCCGTCAGACCTGTTTGAGCTCAGTTTTCAGAAGGAAGCCCTGAGGGAACACTGGCCGCTCAGAGATGCAGGTCTGGCCAAGGAGCTCCCTGCAGGTGGGAAAAGCCACCAAATGCAGCTAAGAGCCAGGCTGCATGGAGTACCCCGCTTTCTGAGCACCTCGCCTGGCTTTAGAGCTCCCTCATGGAGAGAGGCAGGCAGTGTGGTCTAAGATGCACTGGACTCAGAGTCGAAAATGATGGCGCACATTCTGTCTCCATTACTGAATCCACTGTACAACCACAAATGAGTTACATAGACTCTGTGGGCCTCAGTTTCTCACCCGAGGAATGAGATGTATGACCTGTGAAATCCTATCCGATTCACAAACAAATGATGGGCAAGCACCAGAGAGGCTCTCTGCCCTGACCTCCTCCGGAGGGTGCTGCGGGGGACCTGGAGCACAGTCTGGAAATCTCCAGGCTAGGTAATTGCCAGCAATAGGCCGCAGCTCTGTCAGCTCCCAAAGGCCCCAATTTCCTTGGCAGAAAAGGGAGAATGCAAGTCTGTACTCAACCAAGTTAAACCACAAGACCATTACCCACTCTCTCTCCTCCTTCGTAACTTTTCTTCATAGCTCTTATCACTATCTCAGTTTTTATTTTGCTTCTTGTCTTTTCTTCTAACTGGAGGGGAGATTTGTTTAGTTCATTGTATAGTCCAGTGCCTACAATAGCACCTGGTACCATTAAAGCACTTACGTATCTTTTGAACGAATGAATGAATAAGTAGAGCTCTTGAAATTGCCAATTTAGGGAGCAACAACTTGGGGTTCTAGAAAGATATTCTCAATGTGAGAAAACACTGGATTAGCTGATTAATCATAATGTACAGAAGGCATAACACATGTTGTCTCTATGGCAGTGAGCACTTTTCCTTAAGAACCAAGGAGTCAAGCTAATGAGAACGTGTCCCTCAATGGGCAGGACAAACATGGTGACAGAGCCAGGGCCCCAATCTACCTTGGAATGAGAAACACCTAAGAGTACTTTGATTTTGTAACCGCCAAGGACACTGCCTTCAAGCTCTGTGGCTTCCACCCCCTTTGATGGTGTCTGGGAACTGCTACCTGGGACGGTCTGAGGTGGGTGGCTGGGGCTGGTGGTGATGACGTAGAGGACTTTGGAGGACCGGGCAGCGCTGATGCTGAGGTTTGCCTGCTCCGTGATCACCTCGGCCAAAGTCTGGTTGGCAGTGGGCCTCCCCTGCGGTGGTTCTTCTTTAACAGCTGGAAGATCAAAAGGAATTCACTGGGGAAAGCTGATAAAGACAATGAAGAACAAGGGAGAAGGAGGCACTGGAGCTCCTGGTTATGTAGAAAGTTTGTTTTCTCTGATCCAGTTCTGGGTGTAATTCTCCCCACTGGCCTTCAAGCAGAACTTGCCAGGCCCTGGCCCTGAATAAGGCAGAAGGAATGCACTGTCAACTTCTAGTCATTTAACTGGTCTGTCTGTGGACATCACAGAATACTTTGTCATTTCCTACCTTTGTGCCTTTGCAGCTAAGGATCCTTCTGCCTGGAAAGCCCTTGTCTTTCCTATCTACTGACCCAAATCTGACCTGTTCTTCAAGACTGTCCCACCTGTGGGGTGGCCTCCTCCCTGTGACTCCCTGTAGCATAAACTGACTGAACTCTTCTTGAATGCCCTTGACATCTAGGATGAAGATGTCTTAGGTCTTAAGACACCCTGTGTTTCTCATATGCTGACAAAGATATGTGCCTGGAACACATGTGCCCACATTAGAGACGCAGAGCAGGGCCCCACCATGGAAGAGTTGAAGAAAGTTGGGACACCAATCTTCTGTGGTTGGCTGGGATCTGAGAGACAGGATGATGGACCAAATATCCTCCATCAAGCCTTCCGATTCTATCAGCCTCAGTTCTTTCTTTTGGTTGTTCTTTTAACCCTCCCATGGAAACTGTTATTAGGACTGCTAAAATGGCAAACATGACAGGTTTCATCTCTTTTCTGTATCATGAAACATACAAGTTCTGAAATGGGAGGTGGGGAAATCCGTAAGTTAACTCAGTAGCTGCTGACTAAGACCTCCCAGCAAGAACTGCCCAAGCTCCACAGGTCACAAGGGTGTGCAGGAGGAGCTGGAGACACACAGGGAAGTCTTACCTTGGTATAAGACAGCAAATCCCTGGGCCTGATTGATGCGATCAGAGAAGAAATAGAGAATGACAAAATCCAGGGAGACATTAAAAGACAAAGGTGGGCGGTTCCTTCCATTGAATCGGACCAGGACTTGGTGGGTGTAGCCATCCAGCAGCTCCACCATATCTGCTGAATCCCTGATGTCAAATAAGGTGAAGTTGAAGTGGATGTGGGAGGCCCCCGGAACCCGGATGGTCCAGTAGCAGACCCTCCCTGTGGCGTAGGTGTCAGGAAAGTCAGGGGAATAGACTACAGAAGTCATGGCCGAGTAATTCCCACCGCAGGCACCAACGAGAGCTGTGGGAGATAAAAGGACACGGCCCTCAGCCTGAGCTCAGCCACGGGGCTCATTTTCCAACCAGTTACAACCATTCTTCTGAACTTCTGAATGTGATCCAGCTTAGGTTATTGTTTTTAGTCTAGAAGGCCAGACTGTCTTCTGTTTTAGGATCAAATCACCAAATGAATCACTTAAACCCTGAACAAATGACTGTGGAAGCTTTTTTTTCCTTTCCCCAGGAGACCTTAGAATTAGAACACAGCACAGTGGTGTGGCCTAGGTGGGGGCCAGGCTGGAGTCAGAGAGTCTGGGTTTGGGACCAGCTGGGCCATGTGATCCTTCATTTCCAGGCCTCTCCCTTCTTTCAGTTTTGAGATTGGAGAGACCACCACCTGCTCCTATATCACATGAATGTATGAGGACAGATGAGATGAAACAGTGGGCCCTCTTGGCAGGGAGGCACTCCGTGAGGTAAAGTCGTGAAAAAAAAAGGGCCTGTATTACAGCACAAGGGCAACCCTGATACCTTAGAGGATATATGCACAAGAACTGACTTTCTGCCTGGAGGAGACTTACTCAGGTCTGATCACTGTATTAGCATGTCTGATTTCTCTGGACTCTGTTTTGTTTTTTACAGAGAGGAAGGGAGAGGGATAGAGTTAGAAACATCGATGAGAGAAAAAACATCAATCAGCTGCCTCCTGCACACCCCCAACTGGGGATGTGCCCGCAACCAAGGTACATGCCCTTGACCAGAATCGAACCTGGGACCCTTCAGTCCGCAGGCGCCAAACCGGTTAGGGCTGGATTCTGTTTTTGATTTGTAGGTTCCAGAAAGGGGATACAGCCACTTGACCGTATCTTAGGTGGTGAAGTGTAAACACGGTCCTGGAAGTGACCGTTCTTGAGAGAGAGTGTTGGGCTAGGATTTAAAAAGCTTTGGGGGCGTTCCACTTCCCTTTAGGATGTAGAAAGCAGTAAGAGGATGCTGCTTTCATCCAAACAATGAAAAAAGCTCAAAACTTTTATCAACTTGTCAGAAAGCTGAGGTCTAAAGACAAAGGAAATTTAATTCTAAACAGTAAGAAGCCCCTCCAATGAGATTCAGACCACACAAAAGTGTTTCATCTTTGACAGAGCACAAAGAGGAGGTAGCCACCATAAAAGCAAGGAAGAAGCAAGCAGCTAAATTTTTAACAAACCCTACAGGTTGAATATGGGCTAGTCTCTCAGTTTGGAGCCCCAGATACAACAGGAGTCTGCACGCACTTGCAGGCAATTCTGGTCAGGCCTCCCCAGCACCCACCAGAATCCCCCTCCCAAAGGAAGCAAAGCCTTAAGCTGCTGGGAGAGGGGCAGCAAACCTTCTTGCTCCCAGAGCCAGGGTGGAAACAAAACCTGTTTGCCCTGGAAAGAGGGAGGAGGAAATTCTCTCTTTCCTGTCAGAGCAACCAGGCACAGATCTGCTTTGGGGAAGAGCAGAGGCAAAAGCCACCGGCCCTGGGTTGCGCTGAGCCCAGGATCCTGTCCCAATGAAAGCAGGGCAGGAAACGCTCTCCTTCCCAAGAGCTGCCACAGATGCAAAGCAGTGGTTAGCTTCCGGGAGAGGGACGGGGTGCAGGAATGCTGGAAAGGTCCTCCCTGAGCCCCAGGAACATGTCCTGCCTAAGACTGAGGATGGACAGGAGGACCAAGACATCCCCCGACCCCTTGACCTCACAGAGCATAGCATCAAGTTACAGGCATTAGCAGTCCAACACTGCGGGAGGGGAAGACCCTGGATGGCACAGGCATGGAGAAGCTGCTCAAAGCTAAGGGTGGGACAGGAACACTGAAGAAGCCCATGGGAATCCCAGGCTCCACACTAAGCACAGGAAACAGCAGCTCATCACTGAAGGGATCTGAAACCTGATGTGCATGGAAGACAATGACAGAAGCAAGAAAATCCACACCCAGCTCACCACTGACAGAAAGGCTCAGTCCCCACACTGCGCAGGTAAGTTCTATGGACCTCAGCCTCTGCTGTTGTTTTGCACATCGTGTATGGCATTCAATAAAATATTACAGCACACACATAAAAGCAAGCAAAAAAGAAAGAGAGGGGAAAAGACTAATTGTCAAGAGATAAAACATCTGATATATAAAATTCATTTTAGGTTTGCAACATAATATTTAATTTATGTAGCAAACCTAAAATGAATATAATGTCAATCACATCCCAATATTTAAAAAAGAGAAAACAATCTATAGAACCAGACCCAATAATGCCCCAGACATTAGAACTACCACAGACTACATGATTAATACAGAAAAGACCTAGTGGAAAAGATGGACCATATGCTTGAACAGACTGAAAATTTTAGCAGAGATATGAAAACTATATAAAAGAGTCAAATGTAAATGTTAGAAATAAAAGAAACAATTATCAGATATAAAAAATCCCTTTGATGAGCTTATTAACAGATATACAAAATTGAGGAAAGAATAAAATAATTTGAAAATAGGTCAATAGAAATTATCCAAAATGAAACAGAGAAAAGAATAAAGTGAAAAAAGCAAAATAGCACCCAACAGCTGTGAGATAATATCAAATGGTCTAATAATATGTAATTGGAGTCCCAGAAAGAAAAGAAAAAGAGAACAAGGCAGAAGAAATATTTGCAGAAAAAATAAATGCTACGAATGATCCAAGGTCAATGAAAAGTAATCTAAGAATCTCACCAAACTCCAAGCAAATAAATTAATAAATAAACATAAAAAAATACCTAGACATATCATAGCTAATGCTGAAAACAGAAACAAAGATAAATCCCTAAAAGCAGGCAGAAGGGAAAAGCCTAAAAACAGTGGAACAAAGTTCGAGCGGACATCTCTAGAAACGATGCAAACCACAGACAAAGAAGAAATATTTTTTTAAGTACTAAAAGAAGGAAACCTATCAGTACAGAATTTAATATCCAGCACCTTCCAGTGCACGGGACGATGTTCCAATCAACCGGGCCACACCAGCCAGAGAAAGAGGATCTTTTAGAAAAACAAACAAGAAAGGCCCTGGCCAGGTGGCTCGAGTGGTTAGAGCATAACTCTGATATGCCAAGGTTGTGGTATTGATCCCGGTCAGGGCACACACAAGTAACCAATGAATGCATAAATAAGTGGAACAACAAATTGATGTTTCTCTCTCTCCTTTCCTTTTCTCTCTAAAATAACAGATTTAAACACACACACACACACACACACACACACACACGCACACTCGCACACACACGAGGATCTTAAAGCTGATACTGTGTAGTTATTTGTTTGCATCAAATTAGAAAGGTAATCTTTTCTAGGTTGTCTAAGTGTCTCCCAATAGGCCATGTCTCTCAAGCACATGACACACTGTCATTAATTACTTGTTAAATGGATGTCTTCCTCTCTAGGACAGGGGCTGAGTCTTCTTGTTCAGCACTCTATGGCAGGGCCTGGTCAGTGCCTGGCCTGCAGTAGGTGCTTACCAAGTATTGCCACATGAATAAAATAATACATGGAGAGAAGTGGGGGGCAGGCTTGTTCTCTTGGCCCAACAGTTCCCGTGTCTTCAACAGTAACGGGCACAAGGCATACTCACTGTCAAAGAGGATGATCCGGCCATCGCCACCACAGAGCTGGGTTTGATCCCCGAAGCAGACGCTGTTGCACTCAGTACTGGCTACCTCCCCATACTTCCAGTAATCCGGGTTGTTTCCGCAGAAGCAAGCATAGCCTGACTCCATCCCAGCAAACTGCCACAACAGAGAAGCAGGACTTGGTGTCAATCAGGGATGTCAAGTGAACGGAAGGATCCTGGCAAGGTTGGTCCCAAGAAAGCAACCAGCCTCATTTTCCCAACCCACCCTTCCCCTGGGACCTCTCCTTGTCCCATTCTTACAACAGGCCATTACACACCGAGGGAGGGAAGAGGAAGAAAGAAAAAGGGAAGGAAGGAAATTAAACAACTTAATTTTCTTATTTTTTTGATATAGCATTATTGAATCTTAATGGCCAATGAATGAATTTCAGATAGAGGAATGGATAGGAAGAAAAGAAAATATTTTGGACTGGTGTCCAGGCTGGGCCCCTAAATTTATCAAGGAAGCAAGAACTACCTTGGTTTATTCCCAGATCGCCCACAGAGCTAGAGATGTTCCTGCTCATAACATACACGAGCACAAGGAAATATATAACTCTGTCAGAAGTCAAACAGGGATGCAGATATTGGGGTTTTCTGGTCTTTGGACAAGAGAACTACCTCATACTCCTCATTCCCAAGCCCACTCTTCCTCCGTCTCCTTGGCAGAAAAATAGAGTTTGTATGGCTTCACAGGTTATATTTCAAAAACATATATATATTTTCAAGTTATTTTTACATCTCTATTTGTTTCTATAGGTAGATAGCCAGAGAGCAGTTACCTTGAACCTCTGGCTCCGACAAAAGCTGATGCAGGTTTGTATGGTGAGTTTGTTAGATGTTTTACTGGCGCCAGTTAGAGGAGGTGGGTTTCCATGATCCTTGTAGCAGCCAAGGTTTCCAGGCACTGGAGGAAAAGGAAAACAAAAGAATTTCACAACATCTGGCTGTGAAACAACAAGAAGGAAAAGTGTTCGGTGCCAGGTACTTTCATCTCAGCCAGCATTTCCACTCCTAAGGCACGATAAATAACAAGCAACAAACTTCAAAAATGGAAGTCTACTGTCTTCTGCTAAATGCTGTGCTTTTGTTTTATTTTGAAGAGTATGTGAGGCCCCTATAACTAACCCTAAGAATTTTTTTTTTACCTGTTCACTATTGATAGAATTTAGTACTGAAGAGAACTAGAAATACTTCCCTAGAAATAGAAGCTACAATATATAAATTGTTCCAGAGTCACTAGAGCGGGAAAATCCCTTGAAAGCCCATCGTCCTGTGCCTTGTGTCTCCCCTTGTTCCTTAAAAAGCTCCACAAATGGGTCACTATGTTTTGGGGTAATTTGTTACACAGAAAGAGCTAACTAATCCACCTATATAATACCCACTAAATATATGTTTATTGAATGAAGGAATTAATTAATCAACATCTGTGTTATTAATTTACGAATCACTCCACTATCATATGAAGCTCTTCCCTACTTTCTCTATTTGGTTCCTCACAGCTTACAGAACTGAGTTATCATAAGACATGAATGAGTCCTAGAAGCACCTTTAGGCCAGTTAAGAGTGATATGTTTTCAACTCCACAGTAAGCCACAAAGACTCTTAGAAAGCACTTTTCCTTTATGTTTTAGGCTGGAAAACAGCATGGTCCAGTTTAATAAGCTTTCTATCCACATTAGTCTTCTGACATTTAAAAATATACACATATGTATATATGTACACACACACACACACACACACACACACTTAATTTCTGCCATCATCTACCTCTCACCAGCTCATTTTAAATTGGCAGGAAGTATCTCTGCTAACCCAAAAAGTCACCCTTCCCCCTCTAAGCCAAGTGGTTACCCTTCTTCTTTACGTCACATATGGTTCAAATATAACAAATGTGGCTCACCACACAAATGCTAAAGTGCATCTTTCGGAAACAAACTGAGTCTCTATAGTAGCAAATGTAAACAGAAAAACTCTGGGCAGTAGAAGCCTGGTGTTCAGGGGGCCTGGCTTGGGAATGGCTAGGTTTTAGAGTTTAAACAAATGCAGTGAGTCAAGTATCTCTAGCAGGGAGCGTATCACATAAGCCAAGTTAAAGGGACCTCGCATATGGAAACCCAAGCCATGCACTTAATGATTCTTAGTAAGAACTACTTGATCATGATCATTCTGGTCATTTACTTTGATTTTTGTCTCATTTAGTCCATTATGCTAACCAGTAAGCATATTATTAGGTATTAGTTATAGAGAGCCCAAGGCGCATAACCATAAATGTGAAGATTAGTCACAAACAAGGCCATGGGTTGCATTAATGCAGCTGGAACCTATTCACAACAATTTGGCGAGCAAATCCAGGCAGCTCATGTTCCACTGGAGCAGTGAGGCCCCAAAGCATATCCTGAGGTGGATCACTGGGAATCGGATCACAGCACGTTGTTGCTCCATCCATCTGAGTATCAATGGCCTGGGGTATCACCCTTGCCGCCCAAGTTAATCACTTGCTGGACACTGTCAATTCTACCAGACATCTGTCCATGTCTCTCTATCCCACTGCCACTTCCCCAGTTTGGAACACCTTCTCCTACCTCTTACACTGCTGCTTTAGCCTCCTCTCCCACCCGTTTCTACCCTCACCCTACTCTAATTCATCAATTGCTGATCTGTGACAACATGAACTTAAAGCGAGTAACCGTTGGTTTTGAGACCTGCCTGCTCACTGTCCTCTTTGGCGACCTAGAAATACCATTTTAGAAAACTGAGTTTATCACTAAGGTTACCTTTAATACTCGACACCAACCTAGAGCCGAACAGCCAAAGCCAGTCCCGAAGGGCGGAACCCACCCAAGAGCCAAGCCCAGACCTGAACAGCTGCAGCCAGTCCCGAAGGGCGGAGCCTCATTTTTTCCAAGTTCAGTTTTATCAACAGTAGGATGAGGAACAATACAGGCCTCAAGGGAGAATGAAAAGAAGATAATGTAAATGAAGTAAACACTACAAGACCTGGCAAGAGAGTATGTGCTGAATAAATAGTGCTTATTATCATTATATGGAATAAAGCTTTCATCATTCACTACACAAACAGGAACAACTTGCTTCGTAATAGAAACATAAAACAGCGTTGAATTAAAAGACACAAATCAAAGGCAGCCACCTCAGAAAACTGGGTTTGATTCCAGATATTCAAATGTTCATCTCTTATGTTTGTCTGGCTAGCATACAGTGTGCTTTCATGTAAGCATCTTGCATGAGACCCTTAGCCCTTCAGGAAGGCAGGACAGGTGAAGTCAGTGCTGCGTGACAGAGAAGAAACCAGTGAGGTTAGGATTTTGGGGTTGAAGGGGGGGGGGGCATACAAGACGGAAATGGAGAGCAGAGTGGCGCTCTAGGGGCGCCGATTCTAACACCATGGTTGGTGTTTTGTTTTTGTTTTTGGTGTCCCTGGCCCTTTTTCTGACAGGCCTAGTCTGGGGAGCAAAATGAAAATGACTCCCCGAGATCAAAGATAGAATTCTCAGACACATTAGTCCCTCAACGCTCTGTGCACAAGGCCAGCCTCTGAAACATGCAGCCTCCCCGTGGTGCCACTGCCCTCTGAGTTGCACGCTCCACGTCTCCCTGGAGAAGACGCGTCATGGAGCCTTCAAAAGCATTACTGGTCAACTGAGTGGATTTCCAGGCTGTAACCCACCCTCAGCTCTTCCCAGAAGTAGAAGGAAAACTCCATTTGAAAAAGGATATTTGTTCTCAAATTCCTTTTCATTTCCAAGACCACTTTAAAGTCCTGTGGCTCAGTCATGCATTTTTCGTCTTACCAAAGAGGCATCATCACTTTCAATTTTTAAAAAATCATCTTAAGATACACACGAACCCCTTGTTTATCATAGCTGATGCTTTAAGACTCATGACGGTTCATTACCAGCATTCTCTTCCGATGGTCAGAGCTCCTGACTGATACTGGTTTTAGAGGTGGCTGATGGAGAGGGCCCTCTACTCAGATTAACCCAGGAGCTACTGTCCTTTGACTGTCACTAGGGACTGATAGGAAGCAACCAGGCAGGCTTACTCAGCACCTGCTACGCTCGGATGTAACAGTGGCCTCCCTGGGAAGGTGCCCATCTCCATGGGCTTCCACAGCTGAAGCCCGCCTATTGCCCACGCGCCTTCTCAGAGATCCTGCTGTTGCTGGGGATAGGCTATAGGACCCACGCCTTTGGCCACGGCTTATTCCCACTTGGGGCCACCAGATTTCTCTCCTAGGAAGCTGGAACTGGGATTCCAGTTAATGAATTGTAGGCACTGATTTATAGGGTTCTGTCAAGTGGCAGTAAGGCAACCAGCCACGTTTGAGGCATGAGCTGATGGGTGAGCTGATTCTTCTGAGTCCATGTCTTGAGAGGACAGGTAGCTTCTGCTTCCTCTTCCTTGGAAGCAAGTTACCACAGAAAAGGTCTGACTGTGCTGCGGAAAAGCATGGTTACCCAGGGAGGATCTGGAAGCCATCCTCAATGTCCTGGCCGCAGCAGAGCACCCAGCTGACTGCGGCCACCTGATGGAACCCATAGGAGAGAGGCAGAGGAACAGCCTGGCCGAAACTCAGCCAACCCACAGAATCAGGAGAGATGATAAGCTGCTGTTGTTTTAAGCCACTAGGGTTTGGGGGTGGCTTGTTAGGCAGTAACAGACACCTTCTTGACAAAAGGTCAGTCCAAGTTCAAGAGGAATGATACAGCTGCGTCTCTGGGAAGAAGAGCTGAGTTTGTTGACTGGAACTTTTTCGCAGGGACACCACAAATACCCCAGGCAACGAACCACAGGGCCATCTTTTACTTTTTCTGCTGGTTCATCCCTTATATAGTGCCCTTGTCATCAAGTTCAGTCTTCTTCCTAAATGCATCTTGGATTTAACCCTTCCTGGCTTATCTCACTGCTACTATCATTGCTCAGGCCTATATCCCCTGGGTTTAGAAATCTATATCCATCCTCTCTGCCCCAAACTTCCTTCCCCTGATCCACCCTGTAAATGTACTCTGGTTCATCTTCCTGAACTAGGGCCTTCAGTATGTCAGTTTCCCTCGAATCAACTGACTTTCAAGGTCTGATCTGGCTCCTCTCTGTCCACTCCTCTTCTACTTGGGCAGCTCGGTTCCCAACCCACAAGCACACCAATCCTGTGACCTTCCTCCAAGTCTCTGCCACAGCCTTTCTCCATCTGCCTTTCTCCAGGAGGATGCCTCCCATTTCCACAGCCCATCCTGGGCCCTTTCATCTTCAAAAACTCCCAGCACACTAACTCATAATTCAAACTTATTTATATAACTGGCGGGCTGGTGTCCAATTTTCTCCTATGTTTATAACTCAGATTCCTAATGACATCATAAGATTGAGGGCAGGGACCATTTCTTATGTTTACATATATTCCTTACAGGCAAGTGCTGGTGTAAAGATGTTCAGTAAAATCATCCTTAATGATCTACATGAGTTTCCCTTTTTAAGTGATTAGTATGCTTTACACAACTGCTTTAGAACTTCTTAGAAACACAGTATAAATCTGTCACTGAGGAAAATGTCCATTTGGTTCAGAAAGCCAATGCTTTTTAACAGAGAGTTAAATAATGTCCACTGCCAAAAACAAAGGCTAATTGACTAGATGCCATATCTGAAAATGGCATTGTAGGGACAAATGCAGGACCTCTCGTGTTCCCTGAGTGCGATGCCACCAGAGGCTGAGGCGCACTCCTGAGCCCCCTGGTCAGTGAGGAATAAAAGGAATGGACAGAAACAGCACGCAGGTTAGGAATGACCCACTCCAGGGGGAGACTTTCCTTGGGGGAAGGCAGAGGCCACCACAATACCTGCCAGGACTTCCATGCCTACCATGTGCTGAAATCTGAGGACTGTGTATATTTTACTCCTTAATCTTCAAAATAACCCTGGAAGGCATGGATGAAGAAACCAAGGCCCAGGGGAGAGTCATTTTGCCATAAACTATTAAATGAGAAGTGATTTAAACCTAAGCTGGTGTGACTCTCAAGTCCATATACTTTTTACTAGTTTTCGTTTTCTTATTGAAAGACACATGATTTCACATCATCAAGAATCCTTGTGAGCACCTGGTATGGCCTCCACTGTGCTAAGTGTTGTGGAAAATGGTTAATATGGCCTGATGGGGGAAAGCCCCCATAAATCCCATTAGCACCCCTCCATAAATAAAATGCAACCCAAATAAAATGAGGGTGCCTGCTATGTAAATACAGCTTTAAAAAAAATCCTTCAGTCCCCCTTTCTGCCTTAAGCCTCTCCTTCACAGAAATTCCAGAGATAGCCCTGCTCCTATCTTGGAAAATTTTAATCTAGTTGGGAAAACAAAAAGACTCTTATAAAGCAAGAATAAACAACAACTAAACAAACAAACAGGATTCTGACAAGGCTAACTTGGGCAGTCTAAAGGGTTCAATGAAAACCATTATGTAATTGTAATAGAAAGAGAGGTGAAAAAAATTAGTATGCATAATTTATATTATTAACGTGCACTTCATTCAGTATTGCTTTGGCCATGGCCTAAGTTTGAGGTTTTGCTTTAGCTGAACAGTGTTAACGATGCACAGAGACGCTGTGTTTGTTTCCAGATGAGCTGCAGCTCATACAAGGAAGACATGGAGAGACCCCGGGGCCTGGACAAGGCTGCCTGATGCAGGGTTTCATGCAAAGGCTCCGACTCCGGGAGCCCGCTCCCAGCTGAGAACAGCTGGGCGGGGAACACCCGCGGAGACAGTCCAGCATTCTACAGAGCCACTCTGCTGTGCAACAAATGCTTCCCGGATACCACTGCAGCCTGCCTCACTCCTGGGGCTTGGGATTTCCCAAACCCAAAGGAGAAAAGAAAACGACTTAGAGCTAACAGCTTGCACTGCAGACCCTCTGTCGCCACTGAGTTAATCCTCTGGTTTCCACAATGTCAAAAAGGCAATCTTAATAATTCGGCGTACTATCAGAATTTCAAACTCTTAATTCCCAAACAATCCACAAAGAATATTCTCAGGAATGACCTCAACAGTAGCCTGGATCCATCCCAGGGTCCCCTTTTTTCACAGAAATAGAAGAAATGGGGCTTTTCTAGAGTACTGGAAAGAAAGGGCACCGGTCTTGCCATTAGGAATCCTAGATTCAAATCCTGTTTGGCTCAGAGCGTAATCCTCACCAAATCACTTAACTACTCTAGCCTCATTTTCTCATTTGAACAATGGGGCATGGGTGGTTGGAAGAGGACATACCACTTGCTTCATAGGACTGTTGAAAAAAGATAAATAAGATAATGTGAATATAAATGCTTTGTACACAGTAGGTACTCACTAATAGCTAAAATAAAAGCTAAAACATACTAAAAATCAGTGTTGACATTAAAATGCCGAAAATGCTGACAGAAACAAAACATTTCCTATAACTGAGAGACCGCCGTGACCACCACTGCCAAAGTGCCCTTGGCTTTTTACCCAAACTCTGAACATAGCTTTAAAAACTCTTAGTAGGATGACAATTGGAAGTTTTCAAATCCTGGTTTTGGGGCTGCATTTTTTAATGGAACAACAGATCTGTTTTAATGAAGGTCAGGGTGTTATTTAATAAAAGGAACTTGAGCCTGTGAGGTCACTGGCTGAGACTGACCAGAGGTCCCATACTGCCCAGGTGCTAGCACTGGCATCCTGGCAGGGCTGGCCTGTGACTGATACAATTACTTGAGAAAGTCTCACAGATTAAGAGGGAGAAGCCTTGTCCTAAATTCCTAATATGGAGATTTAAGAAACTATCGTCTCCTGATACTCCACACTCTCCTCAGCCTCATCACCATCTTCCTGGGTCAAGTCCAAGCTCCGAATCCAGACTATAAGACCTCCGTCATCTGGCCCCACCTAATTCTTCTCAGACCTCATCTCTTGCCTTCCTTCTCAGCAACACTGGCTTTACTTGGGCATTCGAGTGGGTGTGCGTGTGCCTACAAACTGTCCCCTCTGCCTCCAATGCCCTCTTTGCTCCACCTGACCCCACCATCTAGAACTCAGCTACCAAAAAGTGTGGCCCTGCAGCTCCCGCATCCAGGGGCCTGTTAGAATGTCCCTCAAGTAGTGAAATAAGTGGGAATTAGAATGGTGAGGAAGGTTTTTACAAAAGAGAGAGAGGCAAACGACAGATTTTAAGCCAGATGATTTCTCCCCGCAATAGTCAAACCAGCAGGACTTACAGACTTAGAGTGGATTCTAGAGGGATGATAAATCTGATAATGTTGGAACCTGCTTTTAAAACTCTGTATTTCTTTTGCCTGCGCTAAAAACTAGGGGATTCTGAGAAACACCTCGGCAGAAGTGGTCTGAAGAGCAAATCCAATTACCGCAGAGTGTGCTCCTTGTAACGGTAAGTTCTGATCCGAGCTCTGAAGGTCAAGAGCACAGTTCACATTTTTCTGTGCCCCCTTTTGAGTCACACTCCATCTCTGCCTCCCTGCTCGTTTTAGCTCTCCATGTAACACGCCGACGGGCAGAGATTCCGGTCTTCGCACAATGGCCCGCCATTCAACCACACTCTGCTTTGTCCGTAAACATTCACTCCCCCTGGCTCCTGCTGGGTCTGTTATATTCAGATATGAACTTTCCAGGAGTCTGATCATGTCACAGGCCCTTTCCTGTGTGACAAGTTCAGTGCTAGTCACGAACAGTGGGGCTTCACACAGAGGGTTAGTATTATTCATGAGAATTATGACTCCACATCCAGAAATAGGGCGAAACTGGCCTAAAATAGGCAGGCATGTACTCACTTGAGTCCACTAAGGCAATTACTAAGGTCTCTTGCTGCAAATATCACAGGAGTCTTTCTCAACTATGCTAATCAGACACACTTGATGCACAATGTTCTGCCAGACTCAAGGTTTGAGCCTCAGCTTTGTGGGGAGCCCTGGGAGCACAGGGTGAATGTAAGGCTTTTCCAAGGCGCTCCCAACCTCCTCAAACTAGGTACTGCCCGGTGCTTATTCCAAATTTCTGTAAGTCTCCCTACCCAGACCATTTCAAGGCCAGCTTTGAGAGCTTTGAGAGAGTTATCAAAGGGCTATACAAAAAGGAAATGATATTAAATTTTCCTTTTTTTGGAGCAACAAATATTGAACTAGGTGGCTTGTACTATTTGTGCTCTAATTTTCTCTTCTGAACCTTAGTTTCAGTGACCACATTGAGTCAGCTCCCATCAGCCCAAATTATATTTTATAAATGCAAGTTGAGGATTATCTTTCCAAACAAAAGTGCCCAGATTGAAAGCCCCTCTTCGCCATTCCTGAGAGAATGACATAGGCTGGTACTAAAAGACCATCTTTGTGCCGAACAAATGGACCGAGGAAAATCTGTTTTCCTCTCCTCCTGTCCCTTTCTTCTTTACATAACTAGGGCCAAATGAGATGTTTTTCATTTTAAAAATTTGATTAAGCAGACTGAGCAAAAGCCCTTTCTTTTGGTCTTTACTGTTCTCAACTCCGGGACTGAATCAAGACATACGCACGTTGGAAGATAGTGAAACCAGAGCCTAGCCGCCCAGCAGGGTGACGTTTGGAAGTTTAACTAATGGAAGGTGAGCACTGGGCCTGCAGCACCAATCTAGGGGCCACCCTTTCCCCCGAGGCATCAGAATCTGGACGGCTGCAGTGAGCATGAGTGTGGGGGTCCCAGGTTCCATGCAAACCGCCATATCACTCTATATACATAGGCTCCTGACCTGAGGAAGGAGGCAGGGCAATGAGCAGGTTTAAATAACAAGAAAGAATGATTATAAATGAGCTGTCCTGTTTCAGCTCTAGGAACCGAGAAACCCTGCCCCTTTGGCATATTTAAGAAGATATTATCAACACTACATTCGTAATTTCCTTATAGTACTATGTTTAGTTTTGGTTTCTGTACTTGAAATCTTTCTAGAATATTTTCTACTTTGTTTTAAAGTATCTTTCTAAGGTTCTCTGCCACATCTTATACTTCCTGAGGGTCAGGGTATCTTCCTGCCTTTGTATCTTGGATATCATCAACACTAATTATAGGAATAAAGGAGCGAAACAGTTAGAAAACAGGCCTCCTAGCAAAAGATGTTTTGGGTTTGTTTTTTGGTAGTAGAAAGGGACAAGTTGTAAGTTTTCATAAAAACAACAGGACCTCTAAATGCTAACATGAGAGAAAAGTCTATCCCGTTGGCTTTGGAAGGTATCTAATTAGATATTTACTGGATATCATATTTCAGGGAACACAGCACATAAAATCCAAATAATAAGTAGTGTCATAACTTAGTTTCACTATCTTTATTCATTCTAAAAAAAAAAATTCATTCACAAAAGTACAAGGTACATTCACTGAGCTTGCTTCTGAGCCATTGTCGCCATCTCTACCATGAAAGAATAAGCATGAGGAAATTGAGTAGAAGTAAAAATTCTGGTTGAGTTTATCCATCAAGGAAATGGGATCCCGAGGGAACTAGGCATCCCCATTTCTGAAAAGCTCACCAAGAGAAGCAAAAATCCCCAGGCCAGGATGGCTTCTCCCTTCACCAGTTTCATGAAATCCAGTGACCTGAACTGGCTGCCCTCCGGCAGCAGCCTTCACTCTGCACTCTCTGTGTTCAGTGTCCTGAACCTGCAGGGGGTGTGAGGGTCTTACTCTGGCAGGCAGGTATCTCGCAGTACTTCCAGTAGACGCCGTCCTCCTGCTCTGCCACGTAGCACCAGGGGCTCACATCTCCATCCGGGTTTCTGTTGGGGAAAAGAACAGTCCGGTAACATTTTTGTCATTTGAAGTCAACAGGTTCATTGCTTTTCAGTTTTACCAAAAAGAAGTGCTTCAGCTTCTGTTATTTTCCAGAACTGGAATGTACCTCAATGCTACCTCTTATGAAGAAAAAATTGGTAATACTTCCTCCTCTAACATACATTTCAGAGTATGGGAGCAGGAGGAGTTGGGAGGTGAGCAAAGGTGATATATATTTACACAAATTCACTACAGTGTAACCGGGACAGCTGACCACTGAACAAATCTTGACAAACAGCGCTGTCTAAACAGGTGCTCCCTCGATACTGTGGATAAGAATGTGAAGGACGCAAACAGTCAGGATGGCAATTTGGTAATTAAGAGTCAAAATCCCTCAAAATATGCAAACCTCCTTTACTTGGCAATTTCTCCTTTAGTACTTTATTCTAAGGAAATCTTTACTTATAAAGATACTCACCACAGCATTTTTATAATACAAAAAAGTTAGAAACTGGTTAAATAAGTATGATATAGCCATCTAAAGGAATGCTAGGCAGCTCTTTAAAATGTGGTGTAGAGACACACTTTACTAACATGGAAAATTTACATATCATAGTCTCCATTGACGAGCTTTCGCCAGGATCAGTCTGGTCAACTTATGTTTCATAGAAATGGGTCCTTGGGGTAGTGAACACAATACAACATACAGATGATGTAATGTAGAACTGTAACCCTGAAACAGATATAATTTTATTAACCAATGTCACCCCAATAAGTTCAATGTAAAAAATGGGTCCTATTCTTATATTTAAACATCAATTTCTTAGCGAATTCTGAAGAAAACTAGGCCAAAGGGTTTCAATCAGAACCTAAAATCCTGTAATCCTGGCACCAACTTCTGATAATAGCAATAATATTTTTAAAAATTAACTTCACATTTCTAAACAAATGGCTTGGAATGAATGCTGTTCAGGGTGTGCAGCTCAGAAACGCCATGACAATAATGGGCAACACTGCCTGAACGAGAACAAAAAAGGGCAGGGTCCCTGGACACAGAAAAGTCCGGCCTCTCTTCACTGCTTTCCCAGCTCCCTTTCTTTAGACTCACAACGCTGGAAACCTGACACTCTGGTGAGGCCTGAAACGGGCATAAAGACCCAACAGCCGGAGCTTTGGAGCAACCCCTATCAGGCTCAGAGGGATAAGTCTATTGTGTGGCCCAGAAGATAAGCCGCCCTGAAGCACAAAGGGTCCTTTTATTTTCTGTGCCCAAAGGCAGGTGCCAGCGCCAATTCTGCTCTTCCCCGTCTCTCTGTCTTCCCTCTAATCCAGATAGGCCGAGCCCAGAAAAGTGCGTTCCCATCACTCGCCATCTCACAGACATCTCAACTGTGATGGATCTGGAAACATCACACAAGACAAACAGTGTCGGATGTCAGCTGGGAAATCAAAGCAGGAGAACTTGTACAAAGCCCTGCTTTAAAAAGTATTTCACTGTCATTTTCCTCCCTCTATTCAGCGCTCAGCTTTGATGTAGTATTTGGTAAAGACCTTAGAAAAACAACTGTTTGTTATCAATGTCAAAATCATTCTGAAAAGCATCAGAATAGCTTCATAAAGAACAAGAAAATTCATCTTTGACTTCACTGCAGTGCTAAAAGCAAAAGGCCCAGACTCTCTGATGTGATAACAATCAACAACCTCAGCCTCTTTTTTTTGAAGTATACACTGGGAGAGCAGGTCAGGAACATTCCAGCAAGTCAACGCAGGGAAGGCTGCAGCGGCCAGGCTGAGGAAGGCGGTCTCCCTGGCTCTCTTAATGAATACTCACTAGTGCGTGTCTGGGAGCCTGTAGCGAGAACGGGGTGCTAATCTATGAGAAAATATATATTTCCCCCCCCATCTGAATGAAACCTAATTGGAAATTTCAAATTTGCCTTAAAGTCAGACTTAGAAACAGGGGCTCTTCTGAGAAGACATGCGTATAGAAAGCAACAGAATCAGAACCAGTGCCCACTACTAAGAGATACTTCAGAACAAGGACATAAATATATAAAATAAAAAAACAAACATTCGTTTCTCTTCCTAAACACTCTTTCCAACCCAAACTATTCCTATGAAGAGAAAAACTAGGGGAAGGGAATAAACCAGAAATGGAGTGGGGTTAAATTTTTAATTCTGAAAAAAAAAAAAATTTTAATGAACATGCATAGCTTTAAAAATAAATTGTAAAAGAATTGCTTAATGAGCATTTGTAACTTAAACAATAAGATGCAAAAGTCAGCAAAACATGAAGCAGCATTTATATAACTTGTTGCCTCTGGGAAGTGGGGCTTGGTGGGCACGATTTGCCAGGAAACAGGTAAAATGGGGGACTTTAAACAATATGTGCTTGTCGTTTTTGAAAAAAATTTTTTTTGAAAAAGCTCTTAATATTTTTATAGTAACAAACTAGAAACTAATGCAACACAACTGTGGGGAAATGGCCCGTCGGTACAAATTAGGGCAGAGGTGAGGAAAGAGCTGAATGCCTAGGGAAAATGAACATGGACCACAGGCCTGGTTACTGCAAGACAACCACAGGGTCCTAGAGTGTTAACAAAAATACATGGAGAGGGCAAAAGGTAAACAGTGTGGCCTCTGCAATGCAGGGTATAAATATGTTGGCTCAGCTGGGTCAACACGCTATGGTTGAGACTCTAACTTACTGGTGGAACCCGGGACATTGTTAGCTCAGGAATCACTTTGCCCCGTCCCAATGGCTCAAGAGGCGGCCTTTGCACCTGTCCTAATAATAATTAAATTCAACGCATTGCTGAACCATGAGTCACATTACCAGGATCTTGGGTATAAATAGCTAAAACAAAGCTACAACCAAAAGTGCTTAGAATTTTGCTCTGGTCCCCACAGACCAGTAATTCTTTACTTTTTTTTTTTTAAATCACTAACAACTGAGAATCTGATCTAAGTCATGGATCATCTCCCCAGAAAATTGCAAGTACACATTTGGATCTCAGGTTAAGAGCTAGAGTCAGATAGGTGAAGAACAAAGAAACACCTGTCTAGTGAAAGGAAGGAAACAGCACACATTTGATGGCTGCCACTGTCCCCTAGAAAGGTTATCCTGGTCTGGCAAAAAGTGGGATAATGCAGCTTTTTTTAAATTTTTGCTCCGAAGCAGAGGGAGGACTGGGCCACAGAGAGTGCTTTTGCTTGACCACTACATTCACGGCAGCTTAAGAAGCTTTGCTGTCTGTGTGCCCATTGGTGGAAGGGCCAACTGAGAAAACCCCAAAGAGACATATAAGTGAGCAGACAGAAAAGCAGAGCTCTGGAAACCAGGGTCAAAGCAACCCAAGTGGAAAAGAATAGTAGAAAAAGGTACGAGAGAAAGATTTAAAAAACAGTAACAAGAAAGGCCTTCTGAGTTGGCCAAAAGGAGTCAGAGATGCTCTCTCTAGTTGTGAGCAAGGCTGGAAAAGAGTAAAAGAGATGAGATTTTTTTAAAGCAGTGTGTGGCTTCTTCTTACCTGCAGTAGTTATGCTCGCCCAGGCCCCCTTCCCCATTGGGGTAGTTCAGAGTGTTGTATGGGTGCTGGAAAGTCTCGTTCCAGAACAGACATGGCTTCCCGCCTTGGAGCGCCGTCCAGTTCTGAGTCCCTCTGTAATCTGCACCATTGGTTGTGAAACATTCTAGGAGAAAGAAAAAAGATAGAGCGAGCTAATTTCTTGGCAACGTCTGTGGTCTCCTCCCTCTCTGGTTGATGTTTTATTTGTTTTGTTTGGAAGAAGTTAGAAATGGATAGTGTCTTGCTAGGTCCTGGACGAAGCAAGATTAACATGGCTGGGGCTGAGTAAGTCTGAATCGAGGTACCTCCAAATGCTCGTCTCCTCTTGGCACTGGTTAGTCTACATACACTAGAACACTTCCCCTTCAAGTATACAGAGTCCAACTAAGATGTAAACAGGGAGTTTAAATGTATCGAAGCCCATGAAGTGAACTGGGAAACCCCCAAGTCTGGGAACAGTTGGTAACAGCTCTCCACGAGGGATTCTGGGTGCTCGGAGGGGGTCACGGCTCTCGCCAGTGTCTCTGTGTGGTAACTAGAACCAGGTCACCAGCTGTAACTGAGCTCCCCCCTACAGTCTGAAAGGCTGCACTGACACTTGGGTTTAATAAGACCATCGGATACAGCAACGCTTTGGAATCCCAATCACACAAGCCTGGGAATGACTCACATTCCCTGGTAATGAAGAACAGTCCTCCCCACGCTGTTTGAGACAGAAGTGCAACAAAATAGTCAACAGCAGGGAGGAAGGACCGAGCTGGCATATTCTCTCACCTGTTTCTGAAATTCCTTCAAGACGCACTGAACACGGTCTCGGGTCTATTTGGTGAAATGGCAAAATCCTTGCAAGTGCAACAATGTGCTTCTGAATAAAATCTGCTTCTCAGACTTTTTTTTTGGGGGGGGGGGGAATGGGAACTGAGGCTGATAGGATTTCCCCCCACATATTGCATGCATTAAATTCAGAGGTTCATGAGAAAGACACAGTACAAAGAACAATTTTTAAAAATTAGCTTAGTTGAAACTGACAGATAGAAACACTTCAAACACTTCTTCAAGATGTATCACTAGGAACCTGACAATCTGGGGGAGTCCCACTACCATTCTGAGCTTTATTTCTTCCCCTCCCCTGACATGCACTGACCTAGGACTTCCGATGTGAAGGACTCCTGCTGCAGTGCATTTGCCTGCTCCAGCCTACGCATGTGCACAATGTGAGTACATCTGTATTCTAGAAGCTACTTCTTTTACTATTTAAAAATCTCTCTTCCTGTACCCCTTTCGCCCACTCTCTGGGATCTGTGTTTTATCTGGGAGAGCACGGTTTTATGGAGAGCCAAAACAATCTGGAATTCTGGCTGCACAGAACACTCGAGTAATTTATCGTGTTTGTTGCGACATTCATAGGCTGTGATGTGTGACTCTTCATGTAGCACACCAACCAAACTCTCAACCAGAGTCTGCAAAAATACAAAAGTTCAAAGGTAATTGAAGGAGGCAGCTCAGTGTAGCATAAAATGCAATGAACCAAGGAACTAAGCCCTGGCTTCTCGTCCTGGACCTGCTGCCTGACCAGCTGTGCGACCTTGGACAAATCGCCATCATCCACATCACCGCTAATGCTTACAGAGCGTTTTACCGTGTGCCAAGCTCTAAGTGCTATACAAATATCAACTCACCACCAAGCCAGTGGGGCGGCTCCTTACTACTGCCATTTTACAGACGGGGCAACTGGGCACTCACGGCATCCCATGCTGCCTCTAGTGGACCCCCTCAGCATTGTCCTTCCCCCGCCAAGGGTTAGAGAGACACCTGGGAACCTGCATTTCTATAAAGCTGCCCAGGTGATTCTTTTAATTAATCAGGTTTGAAAACCACTAGACTAGATGATTCTAAGAACATCAAGCCAATCTTTGCCAATTACTAGGATTTTAATTGCTGTGTGTTGTTACATTTCTTCTCCTATGAGCGGCTGAGCAGTGGCCCAGGAGCCAGAAGTGCAGGCCTTAGCAATAGACAGCAGCCTGTAGGTGGTGGGGTCAGTGTTCCCAGAAGCTCAGACGACTTGGTTTGTAACACGAAGAGTGTGGCAGCCACCCACACAGGAGTCAACCCTCATGAAGGGGGACGAGGTGGGACCTGAGAGAGGGATGGGAAAGTGCACACTTGTCTGCTTTGTCTGTTTCTCCCAGGCCCAATCCAGCTCTCCTTACACTAGGGAAACTGAGGCAGTGTGCGAGATTGTCTGATTATCTTTTGAGGAGACTTGCCCAGGGCATGTCGATGATGAAAAAGGGCAAGAAAAACAAACTTGAGTAATCGAGATCAAAGTTATGTGTGCATCTTGATTTCATCAGAACACTAGGGTGTGGTACTAGATAATGAGGACCCTGCCTCCCTTCCTTACTGCTGCTATGAAACTGACATAAGCTTTGGCTAGCCAGGCCAGGAGTAGCTGAAAGAAAAAAACAAAATAAAATATTCACATGGCCAGCTACATATTTATGCATTTGGTGAAAGAGAATGAGCAAGGGCAATAGATCTCATCTCTAGGGTGTTATTCATTAATTCATTCAACAAATATACAATATATTCAATACCTACTATGTGCCTTGCACTGCTCACAGCGCGGGAAAGGCAGTGGTACCCAGCTTTCTCTCACCCCAACACAGCTGAGGCTCTCAGATACTCTCCTGTCTTTCATAATGGCTCCCCAGGAGCAGTGAGTCCCGTGATTGTATGGAGGAAGATGATCAGGTCTAGACTAGAGAAAGGACCTTTCAGGAAGGGTAGGGGTCCTCTACACACGAAGCACACACTGAGATTCAATGGAATACAGAGGCAGTGACACCAGGTAAGTAGCTCACACTGTGTGGTTTCAGGAAACCACCTGGACATTTTGGGTCTCAGTTTCTTCCCCTGTGAAATGAGGGGATTTGAACTACGTGGTCTCAATGTCTCTTCACTCACACTCTAATTTCACACAAATGCTAACAAAATAGTACGGAGGTTCAAAAGTCTGGGGTGATGTGCCTAAAATGGATTGAGAGCTCAAAATCTCGTCCAGGCTTAAAATTCTTTAATTCTACACGTTTCTCTAATGGAAGTGAGAATTCCATGGTCAAAAACTCACCTCCCAGGTGGGCTCTCCCTCTGAAAAGGCACCTAAGCACTCTTTTTGCTTAGAAGGAACTCTTTCTTCAACAAATAAATTTCAAGGAAAAAAGGAGAAAGAGCCGAAACCGGTTTGGCTCAATGGATAGAGTGTCGGCCTGCGGACTGAAAAGTCCCGGGTTCAATTCCGGTCAAGGGCATGTACCTCGGTTGTGGGCATATCCCCAGTAGGGGGTGTGCAAGAGGCAGCTGATCGATGACTCTCTCTCATCGATGTTTCTATCTCCCTCCTCTCTGTACAAAATCAATAAAATATATTAAAAAAAAAAAAAAGAGAGAGAGAGAGAGAGGAAACCTGTTGGTTAATAGATTCAAGAGACATATCACCTGAACATCGCTTAGATCCTTATTTGAACTATAAAACACACTGATGAGACAACCAGGGAAATCTGAACACTGACTAGCTAGATATTTGATAATATCAAGGAATTATTGCTAATTTTTCTAGGTGTAATTATTATGTTTTTGAAGAGTTTTTATTATTTAGGGATATATACTGAAATATTTACAGATGAGATGATATATGAAATTTGTTACAGAGTATTCTAGTTGAAGGAATGAAAGGGATACAAATGAAACAATATTGGCCATGGATAATCATCATGGAAGCTGAGACATTGATATATGAGATTACCTTACACTCTTCTACTTTTGAATATGTTCTAAATTTCCCATAATAAACATATTTTAAAGGACATCTTGAAAATAGTTATTAACATGTTGTTTTACAATTTACTACCTTAGTTTTCTCTTTTTAAAATTGATTTGAGAGAGAGAGAGAGAGAGAGAGAAAGGAAGGGAGAGGAAGAGAAAAAAAAACATTGATTAGATTCGACTGCCTCCTGCAGGCCTCCTACTGAGTATATAGAGCCTGCAACCGGGAGGCACCTGCCCTGATGGGGAATCAAACCAGCAACCTTTTGGTGCCTGGGATAACGCTCATCTAACTGAGCCACACTGGCCAGGGCTACCTGAGTTTCTTTTCAAGAACTATAAACAAACTCTGTCAGTCATCTAAAAGCAAGATAGACATTCACATATCATGTCCTTGGACTACATTTTAACAATTCAAATGACCATAGACCACGCTGTACTTTTGCCCAAAGTAGAATGACCACAAAAATAATCACTGTAATTTTTAAGTTACCAGTAGTTTCTTCATTAAAGTATCTTTTAGGTCTTCTTTTCATTCAAGAAAACAGTGTCATTATTAACATAACAGGAAAAAGACCATTCTTCTCAAAGTTACTTTAACTAAAAAAATTATACTCTCGGCCCTGGCAGGAGTGGCCCAGTTGGTAGGATACTGTCTCAGGTACCAAGGGGCTGCCAGTTGGATTCCTGGTCAGGTACATGACCAGGTCTTGGGCTCAATCTTTGGTGGGGGGCATGCAGGAGGCAGCTGATGGATGTGTCATTCTCACATCGATGTTTCTTGCTCCCTCTCCTTTCCTTTCTCTCAAAAAAAAAAAAAAAATTCTTAAAAAACACACTTTGAAAGAGAACTGAAGGTTTATCTCTTTAAATCTGCTGTTTACTCATCTCTATCAACGGATGAAATATTTAATTACTTAAATGGCTATTCCAAGAAAAACTGAACCAACGGTAAGCATAAAACCAGAGGTTTAAAACCAGAAGGCCCATGAAACTACTTCAGACAGGGGTGCTTATTATTTGTTATGTAAAAATTTGGAAAACACAATTATCAAGGCAGAGAGGCCCATAATGCAGTGCTGCTTGGGTGCCATCTTTTCTCATCTGGCTCTCATCTTGAACATGCTTCACTTCCACCCTGGGAGGGCCCACTGGACACAGTCATCATTGTGAAGTGCAAGTGGATTTGCCAGGAATAGTGACCATGAATATGCAGTAGTACTTGAGGGACTTATGGCTACCATTTAGGATATTATATACAATCATCAAATTGAAAAACAAAAGGCAGCTTTTGAG